AACGAACTACAATAGCTACCAAGTACTCGAGGTACTTGGACCTTCCCTCTCTTGAGTATTCTCACTCAAAGCCAAAACCACTCTCACTAATTGGATACCTTCATTCTTACACCTCCATTCTATTTATAACAACACTCCCTAACAACTTTCCTATCTAATTACTAAGTTACCCTCAATACCCTAATAATATCCCTTTATTACCCTAAGGGTCATTCCTATCATAATCAACTTAACCTCTGCCCAAGGATTTATCAGAATAGCTCCAATTAGCGGTAATTAAAAATGCAACTTGCAAAGCAATTACGAGAGACCGAATGTAAGCATTCCAATTAGAGTCCTTATATATGTAGTATGTAGTATCCAAAAAGTGATCTATCTCCCTATGTGTTTATCTTCAAGAGTCTTCTATTACTCTCTGGTTTCAAACTATTGCAATATGCATAGAAACGTTCTTGATTTGTTCCTCCAAAGAACTCAAGCCCCACAGTGCAGCCTCAGCCTGTCATAATCCTAGTTAGAACRATAGAGGTATTATTAGGATGCCACAAGTAAAGTTGATCAAATTGAGGTCATAATGCTAGCACCTGAAGCAACATGGCACCACACGTTTAGATGATTAATGCCTTCTCATTCTAGTTATGCGTTACGCTGGCTTGAGGAGAAAGAGACGAGTGAAAAGACTCCTTTCCGGCCATCTGTCTGTGGTGTCGAGACCTTTTACTGGGTGGGGACCGCAAGAAAAATTTGATCATTTAGGAACATTTCCTTTTTAGGTCAAATTAGTTAGATCCTTTTGAAGTTTGCAGTTGCRAAGGCTTAAGATTTTCATGGAAAAGTTCCAGAATAATTAATCAACCTGTCAAAAGGGTTTTGCCAGTCAAAGAATTGCTTTCATGTTTAAGAACTATTTTGATAGAACATTTCGACCAGGGTGTTTTCGTATTGTGCATGTATTCGAATGTCAATTGTGTTATCTAGTGCATATTTTTTGTGTCATGTTTAAGCTGAACCTTWATGAAATTTGAGTTATTTGTTTGGCTGCTGAAAAGTTGCATTGCTATATCATGCTAAGCAGCTTTCTATTACACAAAAAGAATTAAATTAAATATACTTTCCTATTGGAAATGAAATTTAATATACTGTACCTGACAACATAAATGCCTTAGCTCTCCAGAACCATGGCGTACCTTTAATTTTCATGATAGCTTGGCATTTATTTTGTATTCTTATTTATATTCTTTATATTTTTCGTAGTGGCAAAGAAAAATAGTTATGATTTTCCTCGGCCATTTTTTGGCCTTCTGTAATTATATTTGGAGTGCATAATTCTTACGCATTATTCCTTTTATTTTGAGCAGATATATTTTCTGGTGTCACCCAAAGTCAAAGGCTAGAAGAAACCATTTGGAGTCTGTGAATGCTATTGCGTTTAATCCAATGTATGCATTATCATTCCTTTCCTGTTCATTTGGGCAACATCTTTTGCTACGTTATTCTGATTTTATATTTTCATTTAGACACCACGGTGCTTTTGCTACGGGTGATAATGAAGGCTTTGTCAGTATGTGGGATTTCCACAGCAAGAGAAGACTACTTGAGGTACCAATTATTATTTATCCAGTTTAATTCATTTTTGTCGTTGTTAAAGTTGTTTTCTTATATCAAAAGGATTTAGAGGGAATGAGTTCAAACCTTTGATGGCCACCTACCTAGGAATTAAATTCTTATGTGTTTCCTAATCCTTGGCAATCAAATGGTACGGTCAGACGGTTGTCTCGTGAGATTAGTCGAGGGTGCGCAAGTTGGCCCGGACACTCAGGAATATATAAAAAAATATTGTTTTCTTATTCTCAGGACTCTTTAGGATGGATGGTACTACCAAGCCATCCGTCTCACTCTCCTCTCTCTCGTACTCTCCTGAACCTTTTTCTTGACCAGTGTTTTTCAAAGCATGAGGTGCACTAAAGCACAATAGCCCAATAGGGTTTAGGTGCGAAGCAAGAAAGATAAACAAGAGGTTTCTATTTTGGTGGACAACTTTTGTGAATATTAAAATATTGAAAGATTAGAAAGTAGTGCTTATTCTGTAATAGTGTTTAAAGAAACGAGTTTTTTCATGTTTTGCCATTTTTCAATATGGTCTTTTTTCCTATCTGCTTTCGGCAGCTGGGCCTTCCAAGCAACATCAAGGAATAGCTAGAATCTATCTTTATTCACCATCCTTTCAAGCATGAGAAAGCAATTTTATGGATGAACATCAACAAAGCTTTCATTTGGATTATCGTGAAAAAGAGGAAGTCCAGAACTTTCAAAGATATTGATCTTCAACATCAACATCAACATGTAATCGACTCTATATTGTTTTTAGCTTTATCTTGGTGCAAATATGTAAATCATTTCCTTAACTACTGCTTGAATTCTCTCGTATCCAACTGGAGAAGTTTTTTTGTAACTTCATTGGATAGAATTTGTTTTTTCTTTTGTAATTTCATTGTAAATTTTTTAAAAATATATATAAATGAAGAGCATGAAGCATAGAGGTGTGCCCCACCAATGACATTTTGAAAAGCATGCCTAGGCACCTGCCTCCTCTTGGTCGATAGAAGGCTTTGAGATTGGTAGAGTTAATGCTCATGTTATCCATGACATGACACGTTCCTTATATCTGTTTATGAAAAATAGAAATTCTCTAATCTCTTTAATTGGGTCAAAGTCTTTGGGTTTGCTTGGGACTCAAAATAAACCAGAAGAAATTAATGGTGACAGGGATCATTACGGAGTCATGAGGTGGATTTGATCACTAGACTTTCGGGTGTAAGGCAAGCATCCTCCCTTTATCCACCTCTTCTTGATGCCTTTATGGTCAAGGTATGAAGGATTAAGCTAAGGTTTTGAGGGTATGTGTCATGAGGTGGATTTTATCAAGTTTTGAGTGTTCCTTTGGCTACTATGGAAAGAGAGAAATGACAGAATTTTTGAAGAAAAAGTGGCTTTGGTAAATTCTTTTTGTGTGAATATTAAGCATACGGCTTCTTGGTGGGCTTCTATCCACAAGATTTGAACGTCGTGATTGTATAGTTTTTAGGGGAGGGTTCTCTCTACCCTCCGCCTTTAGGTTGTGTTTCCCCTTTTCTGAGTTTGGTTTTGAATATGCCCTCTTTGTTTCTTATTAAAAAAAAAAGGGTCAGTGTAGTGTTTTGGGTGCTTCGGCTAGAAAGGAAAAAGCTGAAAGCCTTTGGCCAACTTCATGTTATTGCTTTTGTTTCTTCAGTTTTGGTATCTTAGCTTTCCCTTCTTGGAACAATTACCTTCCCTCTCTCATAACTTACTTTCATTTTAGGAGACCCTTTATAATCTTGAGTTCGTATTTATTTTTGCTTCTTTGTTGTCGCATGATATTTGTCCTTTCTCATAGCAACTCTCACGTTTGGAACCTAAATTCCTTGCAGATTTTTCTCCTACAAATATATTTTCTACACTTTGATTGTTCGTCCCTCTTTCTCTTGGTTATCATCCATAAGGTGACTTTTCTCTTGGCCCATAGCCTTGGGAAGGCGAAGGGTCAACACGTTGGATTTTGTCCTAAGAACTTCCTCTTTCGTGTTAGCCCTTGGTAGCGTGTCGTGTATTAGGCGGGCGCCGGAAGACGTGGATCATTACAGATATCACTTTGTTCAGAATATCTAGAGAAGATTTTTGAGATATTTGGTATTAACTTGGCTTCTAATAATAAAGGATGGTGAAGGAGGGTCCCCCTCTTTTGATTTTATGTTTTCAGAGGAGTCTGAGATAGCTTCCATTTTGTCATTATTGCATCTGGTTGTTCTTTGTCCTGATTGTAGGGTCTCGAGATTTTGGGAAATTTTTCTTGCACGTCTTTGTACCTTTATTTGGTTTCATTGTCTTCTCCCTCGTCATGAGTTTTGTTCTCTTGTCTTTGTGGAAGCTTCGTTTTGTTCTCTCATCACTATGGCAAACTTAGCTGGTAACTTTGTTCATTTGGTTTCAGTTGCCTAGATTTCCAAATAGTGTGGCTTCCTTATCTTACAACTGCGGAGGCGAACTTTTGGCTGTTGCTTCAAGTTGTACGTTTCAAGAAGCAAAAGAAAGGTCCGTTATTAGCCATTCTATTCATTATCTTTCTTACTTTGTACTTGTTTATTTCCAATGGCATTATTATCTTCTGTTGATGTTGTTTTATAATAATGATGGAGCACCACAGTAATATAACCTGACTATTGGAGGAGGTAGAGAACCTATCTGCTACGTTGTCTCTCAAAATATTAGAAACAAGTACGTTAATAATAACTAATTACGAAAACAAGAAATAAGAATGTTATTATATCCAAGTATTTCAGGATAAATTGCCATCTTAAGAGGCCTATATCGGCACTTTGGGAAGTCCTCCTCAACCTATCACTGAGTTTTTAAGATTCTCATAGGTGGGATTGTCTTCGTATGATATTTTTGTTTTCATTTTTCTTCTGTATATATATATCAATTTTCTATAAATTTGAAAACTTCCAAATCCTTCTAGCCATTATCCCTCTGCAATAATTTTTTGCTGAGAAGAATGCCTTAAATCCTTAAGTCTTTTAGTTCTTAAACTAAAAATAAAACAATCATTTTGGTCATTTTTATTATTCTACTGTCGATTATTTAACCAAATCAATGAATGACTTGACTTAGAATATGTATGTTAATGTACTAACACGACCATGTATTAAAGCTACATATGTAGATTATGGCGGGTATTGAGGCTGATGTTGGCATGTTTTGCATGTCTGCCGACCACTCAATACCTACTACAAGTACAACTACAACTAGTCAACCATCTATTAAATAATCGATCGTCATAAGAAGAGTATACCTTTCTGCCGAATTATTATGTATGTTTTATAATACATCAAGTTTTTTGGTTTTTGTTATAATGTTTGGTGTTAATTTGGCCTTTTCTCACATCTATACCACAGAGAAGATCCTCCTCAAGTTTTCTTACACGTAATGGAGCACAACAATATCGCCTCCCAGTAAAGGTAATAAATCATCCATATTTTTAGCCTTGCAACTTTAACTAATTAATGTTTTGCATTGGCCTAAACTGTTATTCTTAAAATTATTTTAGTTCTTATCATTTTATATTAATCATCCAATAAAAATCATGTTTCAAAACTCAAACATCTAACTTTGAACTTCCATACTTGAATAAAGTAAAAAGCTGAGTATAAATTGTCATATTGAAATTGGCCTTAAATTTGTATTCCTCTTGTTAATAACTTCTAGTTGAAGTATCTCAAATGTATGGATAAGTTTAGTGTTGTATTGATTTGAAATTAATATTTTAATTTTTCAGAAGGCGTTGTATTACTATTTTCCAATACCATATGGGCCTCAAAAGTTGGTGCATTAATACTTAGAAAGTCGAGGAAAGAGCTCCACAAGCCAAGTGTTGTATTGTATCAATTTGATGTTAGTGTATTATTTTCTATTTTTAATTTTTTTTTTCCCTTTTCTACTACATACATTCCTTCTCTCCACAGCCAATTTATAGTGTGATAATTTTCATATTAGGCGTTAATTTAGTTAATTTGTAGTGTGATCATTTTCAATTTAGTTTTTATCGTTTAAAAAGTTTTAATTTAGTCTCATGTTTTAATGTTTTAATATGTTCAAATGTATTTTATTTTTGGTTAATGAATGTTAAAATTAATTTATGATAAACTTACAAGTGGAATTAGTTATTTCTGGTTAATGAATGTTAAAATTAATTTATGATAAACTTACATGGTATGATAATTTATGATTTTATGATTTGACATAAGTTTCAAAGTGGAGTTAGGTCATTTAAGAGAAGTTCTTAATTGTTCATCCTATTGAAAAAAAAAACAGTTATAGGATAGACATGTTATTTGAACATTTTTCCTATATGTGCAAATCTAAAGTGTGTTTAGAAGTGATGGTTGAATGAGTGATTTTGAAAAAAAAAGTTTGAGTATAATTTATTTTTAAAAATTATTGATATTTTAAAAATCAATTTAAAGTAATTTTAGAGTTTCTTTAAATTAATTTTTTTAATTTGTCAAACATGATTAATGTAAAATGAAGTGATTTTGACAATGTCAAAATCAATCCCAACACATTCTAATCACTTTTGTAAAATCAATTATTTTCATGCGTAGTCTGATCGGACTATGCATGAATTCGCTCAGAATTTATAAACTAGAAGTCCGTAAATGAGGTCGAGTTAAATTGGGCTTTGCATAAGATTTTTTCTCATACTACACAAGTTTTCAATGTTCAACATTTTCAACATTATGTTCAATATTTCGTCACTCTGAACATTTTTAATTAGGTAACTTCTAAATGAAATAATGTTTTGCATTTTAATCCAAGGCAAGATTCATGCATAATTGTTCTGCATCAATATGATGAAGATTTACTGAATTTGGGATTCCATAAATCAGACCAAATATATATACATACTTAGTTATATTAATATTGATGAGTTTAACCTTGTAATAAAATGTGTACAATATTGCATTATAAGTCCACACATTTGTGATTAAGAATGATCAAACCCTAAGTTTTTTCTTGAAGGGTCAAAACGCCTCCCAATTGCCACTTTTACCTATCAATTGTGTTCGAGGAAGCGTATGTTAGTTGAGAGTAACCAAGAGAATGTATCATCCTTCGCACACTTTAAATCAAACAATATCATCTCTTCTATATTATCTGGGCATAAAATACCATTATTTGTCCTATCATTTCCCTTTCCCCCTCATTCAAGGATGTTGCTCCATATTGTATAAGGATGAATCATCACTAACTTTATTGAGGGATAATATGGTTCTATGTGATTTGGGAGATGACAGACCAAATAATTACAGAGTACACAATGAATCTAGGGAGGATAGGAAACAAGAGAATCTAATGGTCCAATGACAATGATGTGCCAACTACAAACATAGAAAAACCCAATTTAAGGAGAATAATTGATGAATGATAATCATGATCGGTTAGTTGAACATGTTGATGAAGTTTCTTTTAGACATATTCATGAAGTTCCTTTTGCACCTATTGGTATAAGAAATTTTACTCATCGAGGTGGTGTAAACCGACCCCCTACACCCGTTCCAGAAATTTTTTATAGTAAACAGATAATCATGGCTGATCAATCTTCTTCTTCCAACGATGATGTTGAAGTTGCACAAATATTCCTTTCTAAGAACGAGTTGTCCACAAGGGATAGTTTGGGTGGCTTGGGGCCTCAAGGAATAACCTTGAGGTCTCAGGTTCAAGCCACATGGGACGCAACTTTCATTCAGCAATGACTCCTTGCGTATGTATGGGTATGCGCATACCCCAGGTATAGGGACATAAAGAAAGAACGACTTGTCCACGAAGTTGTCATTGTAACTATGAGGAAGAATTTTTAATTTTTAGTTGAAAAATCTACGAGGATCTGTGTACTGTAAGATGTATCAATGAGGCTTGCAAAATTAATAATGGCATTATAGACCGTAAGATATTGTATATGACATATGACAAGAGTATGACTATGACATAAACTTTAGTTATGAAAAAGCATTTCGAGCAAGAGAAAAGGCACTAGTGCTTGTTAAAGGATCGCCAAAAGAATCGTATGATTTGTTACTCATGACATGGAACTTGAAGACAATAAAATTTCACAACTTGTTTATGGCCCCTAGGTCCTTCAATGAGAGGGTTTTCTAGTTGAATCCGTCCAATCTCTGTGGTGGATGAAACATTTTTTAAGAGAAAATACAAAGGTATGCTACTAGTTGATGCTTCAGTTGATGCAAATAATGGAATCTATCCTCTTCCCTTTTGAATTGTTGTTTGAGAAATTGACGAATCGTGAAAATGGTTTTTGAATAGAATTGAACGTTCAATCGGAGAGGTAGGTGGATTGTTATTTGTCTCTAATAAAAATTTTAACATCGCTAAAGTAATTAATCCATGTTTCTCAATTGTCGTTCATGCTCTTTAAATACATTGCTTGAGCATGAATTTGAGGGCAAAACATGAGGGCAAAATATAAGAACGAAGCTATGATTTCTTTATTACTTGCAGCTAAGGTGTTTCATGAATAAGAGTTTTATAGTTCTACTGGGTCAACTCATGACATTTGAAGAAGTAAAGATATACTTAAAAGATACTAGGGTTGAACGATGGACTTAGGCATTTCGATGAGAAGTGAGGTATGATCAAAATGAATATAAATAATATTGCCAATAACATGAATGCAATACTGAAGGATGCCTGAGAGTTACTAAGAAAAGCATTTTATGGAGATGGTTAGGCGATATGAATCAATAAGCCTCCATTAAACTCCATTGAAGATGCAATCTTGAAGGCGGGGAAGGGCACTCCACAGAAAATTCTCCCCTCAGGGATGAGAATGAAGAATATGTTTCCGGTCTCCCACCCTATTTACTTTTTCTATTATTTATTATTTTATATATATATTTAAAAAATCATAAACTTAAATATTTTTATGTGAAATTTACGAAACATTGTTGTGATGTTTACGTTTTAGGACTTATTTGTTTTGATAATTTGAGTTGTGAAAATTTCAAATTTAGAATTGGTTGTTTTATGAATTGTTGCTGGCGATTTCTGGCAGAAGGCCACGTGGTACTTGGACGAGTAGTCCGGCCTGGGATCCACTGGACCTGAAACCAAAGAACTCGATGCCAGTGCGGTGGCCCACCTAATACACTCCGACGATCAAGTCAGAAATCAGAATATCAGTAGTGTTTGGGGGTAAAACTACCTGAGACACGTGGAGGACGCTTATTGGTGTTTAAGAATTAAAAATCTCCCAGCTCCACCTCGAACCTGCCAAAGAGGTCAGGTTCGCCATGGGGAAAAGACTGTGTACATGCCGAAGTCCGATCTGAGGGAGGAGCGACCTACTCGGAACCCGACAGGTCCGATATGGGAAAGAACAAGGGAAGAGTTCGACCATATAAAGAGCAAGTTTGATGCTCAGGTTGAGGCCTTGAAGGCTAAGTGCGAGAAAAAAGAAAGTTCATTCGATGATGGCGACCTGGGAGAATCGCCATTCACCTCGGACATTTTGGAGGCCCCAATCCCTTCGAAGTTCAAAACTCCCACCATGAAACCTTATGATGGGTCTAAGGACCCAAAGGACTATGTCGAGGTCTTCGAAGGCCTCATGGACTTTCAAGCGGCGACAGATGCAATCAAATGTCGCGCCTTCCAGATCGCGCTTACCGGCAGCGGTGCCTGTGGTATCGAAGACTGTCGGCCAGGTCGATCTCGACCTATTCTCAGCTGAGGAAAGAGTTCATCACTCAATTCTCTTATCGGCACTATGATAGAAAGACAACAACTCACCTCGCCACCATCAGACAGAAGGAAGGTGAGACGCTAAGAGAATATGTCACAAGGTTCCAGGAGGAGCAGTTGAAGGTCGTGCACTGCTCCGATGACTCGGCCATGTGCTACTTCCTCATCGGCCTGACCGATGAGACCCTCACCGTGAAGCTTGGAGAGGAGGCTCCAGCCACCTTCACCGAAGTGTTACAGAAAAGCGAAGAAAGTCATTGATGGACAAGAGCTCTTCCGAACCAAAACTGGCCGACCAGAAAGAAAGATCGACCAGGGGAAAGCTAGCAAAGATAAAGGAAAGGCTGATTCCAAGTCCAAAGACAAGGGATCAACCTCCTCTAGCAGCCGAGCTGATTGTCGAAGGTCGGATAGCAGTCACAACCGAAGCCGACCTTATGAGCGTTATACTCCAACCACCATCCCCATCTCTGAAATACTCACAAACATCGAGGAAAGTGGGATGGAGAAGCTCCTCAAGCGACCTGAGAAGCTCCGAGGAGACCTAGAAAAGCGCAATAAGGATAGATATTGTCGTTTTCATCGCAATCACGGCCATAATACAGCAAATTGCTGGGAGTTAAAGCGCCAAATTGAAGATCTCATTCAAGATGGCTACTTCAAAATTTTTTTTGGAAAACCGAGGTCTAACTCAGTAGAGAAGAAAGAAGAGAGGAAGCGTTCAAGGACGCCACCTCGTTGAGATGACTGACCTGCGGTCATCAACACTATTTTCGGAGGCCCAAGTGGGGGCCAATCTGGAAATAAAAGAAATATCTCGCAAAGCCAAGCGCGAGGTGTGCATCATCAGGGAGCAGAGACCGACCTGCTCCATTACCTTCGACGATACCGACCTGGAGGGGATCCACTTGCCCCATAATGACGCGCTTGTGATTGCTCCTTTCATTGATCACGTCGTGGCCAGAAGAGTGCTGGTAGATGGAGGCGCATCTGCCAACATCTTGTCCCTTCCAACATATCTTGCCTTGGGATGGACCAGGTCGCAGTTGAAGAAGAGTCCAGCACCCTTGGTTGGATTCTCTGGAGAATCGGTCTTCCCAGAAGGGTGTATTGACTTGCCGGTCACGATTGGGCAAGATGATACACAGGTAACCCAGATGGTCGAGTTCGTTGTGATCGACGGCAGGTCGGCCTTAAACGCCATCTTCGGGAGACCCATCATCCATTCGTTCCGGGCCGTTCCCTCAACACTTCATCAAG